AGGAATTCACCTTTCCTAATTACTATGACCAAATAAACACATGGTTGCATTTCATTTTGGTCACCATTCCTATTTCAGAGGCTAAAGCTTTTTGTGGGTTTGGGAGAAGAAAGGCTTTTTCCAAATTGGGTCAAATTCTGTCTTTTCTTGCTTTGTCTTTTCTCTCTCTGCCAGTCTACACTGCGGGATCCTGCAAATTCCATTTTCTCCTTTATGTGCAAATTCTGCTGATCACTTCCACCTCCTTAACACCCCTCCTGGGCGTCTCTGCCTTCCTTCCATCTGTGCTGACACCACTATTTTTGACTGCATGTATTTGAAGTGTGACCATGCCTTTTCTCTCCATTTCACAGTCTGAACTCCTTAGCACAAGCAAAGCACTGTGGTGCTTCTGTCCATCCTCTGAAACAGTGTCCTTCTGAAATAATTGGAAATTTAGTAACATGTGAGGATAATAATAAGAAAAATAATCCACAATACTCAACAAATTGTTTATTGGAGGAGGGGGGGAGAAGTTTTGCACATATATCTTAATTATTTTAAAAATGTTTTTCAAATTTGTGTGGAAACACAAATGCAGAGATCAGTCATTAAATTTTAATCTATTTTCACATATTAAATGGCACTTTTAATACTTTAAATTTTTAAGGCAATCATTTGACTAATGGATGACTGAGTTTATCATGACACTGAAGTATTTGTACTTCAGTATTTTGTACTTCACTGTTTCTGTGCTAGTACTGACTTTTACATGTCACAGCTGTGATACATTCCATGCTCAGGACATCATAAGCTTTCTCATGAGTTGTTGTCCTCACTGTAGGTGGTGCTTTTGTTGTTCATTATGACAAAGTAGTTAAGATGTATACATTACTTTTAGGCTTTTTATAAGTTCAAAACCCGTTATAGAAACACATTTGTCTACACATATACCACATGCAGTAAAATGATCTGGGTTTTTACTAGTTGTTGCTGTTGTGCTGCATGTTCACACTTACACCCTGGCTCTTAAAAGTAAATCTTTAACAGAATCTTTAAGCACCTTTCCAAACAGAAACATGAATGTCAGTAAAAGAGAATGACAATATTTTCAGCAATGCAGGAATTCTAATTAGTATTCTCTAACTTGGCCAATTACATATTCTAGAATATGTAATTTTTTTGACATTGTTCCAGCCAACTTCAAATAATTTATATTTTGAGTTCAGATAGATTGTTACAGGCAGAGATGCAAAAAAGCAGCAGCTGAATGCCCCTTTAAGACTATATTTCTTTAGAGGTAAATAAATGCATGCTTACATGCAGAAATATACATAACGAAATATTTTGTATAAATGTACAAATACATACAAAGACATACATATGTGTATATATATGTTCACTAACTACAAAGAGGGAAGAACAGACAGAATCAATTCCAAATAGACAAACACTATACAGTGAGTAATCTTCTGAAATATGAGAGGCTTAATTTCTGGTTTCTGGGCAGAATTTGGAATGAGTCACTTGCCATTCACACATTGCAAGGTACTCATCAAAGTGCTAGTAGTTGCTTGGGCTTAGGGTCCTCTGAATTTCTTCTTAGGGTCCTCTCTTTTAAACTGTTAATGCTGCAGCGTTGTTATCTGCTGCTTATCAAATCTGTGCCTTAACCTTTGAATTCCGGCAATCTCTTTCTCTAGCACTATTAATATTTATCACTCAGATGAGGGGAATCACCACCTGAAGAAAACTGGGCATTGAGAGAGCTTTGTTTGTAGTCTTCCTATGTGGCCATGAATTCCATGCCTGTGGAAAGTGGCATGTTGCCATAGAAATTCTTGTTTTCTACATATTTGTATATTCTGACCAAATGTACCAAAGAAATTTTCCATTCGTGCAAATTCCAGGAGAGGTTCTGAGAGCCTGATTGAGGGTAGTCAAGGTTTAATGTAAAAAAAAGCTTAGAATAAGGGCAAGGGGTTACAATTAACAGCTTTCCAGTTGCACTTGAGGTTTTTGCAGATGAATCTTCCCATTGCACTTTGGTGGTGAAAGCTTGAATTGCTCCAGCTGGTGGCCTTCCAAGTCACACAGTCTCAGGAAAGCTGTATGTGCTGATTCAGCAGAAAGCTTGCTGAACTTCAGCAGGAAGCCAAAATAAGCCCTTATTTGCACAAGGCAGTCCTGTTTGCACATTTACATTAAGATCCATAGGCTGATTTCTGCCCTTGAAAACCCTACCACCTCCCATCACCTTTTTTTTAATTTTTTTTCAAATGAAGAGAAGTGAAGAGATCCTGTTATCACTAAAGAGACAAGGAGTCAAGTCTGTACTAGTAGTAGTTCTCTGCTAAGTTTTGCACCAAGTATGGTGTAAGCAGGTCGCCATCCTGTTCCTGAGTTCCCATGTTGGTTTCTGGCATGGCAGATGAGGGTAGTGTTAAATGTTAGCTTGGTGATCTCTTTCGTGGCTGGTGGGAACATGACTGTCAGAGCTGGGCATATACACATAAACTGGAAGTGAACTCTTTGAAAGTGTTTCCAAGTCCTGTGATATTTTGTCATAATTTTTTTCCCCAAATTAGGACTCCAGGGATGTGCTGTCAGAAATCTCTGCAACAGGGAATAATTTCTAAAGTAGCCCCTCTGTGTGTCTTTTGAACAGTGACTAATGAGCCTGATGTCAAACTACTCATCTGGATTTGCCTTTATAAATTCCTGTCTCCCCAGGCTGTCATATTCCTTTTTCAAGCGTTATACTGCCTGTCTTACAGCCTTGGGTACAGTCAAATGGACTGTTAAAGGTGGTGTGATAACACCCTTGGTGGTGTAGCTGTCCATCTCACCACCAAGGCACTGCTGTTATATCATCAGGGGTGTTCTAATGGGTAGGTTCTTATCCACATTGAAGATTTTGCAGCAGCAGGTTACAAACTGGTAAAGCAAACAGTGGCACAAGCATTAGTGAGAGACTGCCCTCCATTGCCACAGCCGCAATGAACACCTATGAATGTGCACAGGCATGGTAATCTATTTATTTGGAACATCAGCTGCACAGCTTATCTAATTCTGCCCTCACCCAAATACAGTAATTATTAGAAAGTGTGCTACCTACTTAGTAAGAACACATGTAAACTACTGAGTTTAATGTTTATATTGTATTCTGCATATGTGAAGCCAGGTACAAGAGTGATTTGCAGTTTATGCACTGACTTCTCCATTACAGTTCTGAAGTAAAATACTGGAGATAGAAACCTTATTAGAGCAGGTTCTTAGATTTCTATCTTTTAACATTTTTGGTTGTATTTAAAAGATGTGAGGCTGTGTTTTTTTTTAATGTGGTGGGGTTTTTTCTACTTGCTAAATAGAGCCTTTTGAGATTTGGCCAAGGAGAGAAGATCTAATCAAATTCATATAATGATTCTGGGAGTCACTGAAGCTTACAGTACTCCCACATATTTATTAATATACTGTTATGAGAGACAAATCATTTTAGCATTTGAGATAAAGATTACTTTATGTGTGATGCACATAAGCCCTCAGATGACTGAGCTGCATAATTCTTGCCATAGGTGGCCCTTCCTGATGAAGAGGTCTCTCAGAAACAAGTCTTTTCAGTCAAATGCCAGTCCTTGTGCTCACGGATGTACTCATAAAAATATGGATGTGCCTACTCAGAGCCTTATGTGCCTACTCAGAGCCTTATCTGGCACCTATGCCCATGCTGAGAGGGCAGAAGTGCAAAGCACGCATGGCAGTTTTGTACAACACTGCACTCAGAATAACAAACCTTATGTCACAGTTTTATTCATATAGTCAAAAATGGTTGTACCATTCTTCTGTTTAAAAGAAAGTTGCTCATGTCGTTGTGCAGGTCCTGGTCATCTCCTACAGACAGACTGAAGTGGGTTTCCTCTGTTTCAGAGATCTGCAGTACGATTTGGTGTGGGGTATATGTGAAATTAACTTGCTGCAGAGTTGCTGTATGCAGTTCTGCAGTGGTTATTCAGGAAGTCATGTATGAAAACTGCAGTCCCCTCTAGCTTAAATATCTGCAACTACTCAGAAGTGCTCAGTCTAACAGATGGTGGCAAGTCTCCTGAGGACAGGAGGTGTCCAAAATTGCCTTAAATTCCTTGCTGAAACATAGCACTTCAATGCATCCGTTTTGTGGTATAATATAAATGTATCTGAATAGTTTGTAGCCAGTATGGTTTTCCAGAAGTTTTTCCTCTGTTTACCAAAACACAGAGTTTCAGTTCTTTCCTTGATGGTAATAAGTAAAGCACAGCAAGTTGAGCCTGTTTCTGGAGACTGTCTAGCCCAACCTCCCACTCAGAGAAGTGCCTTCCACCAGCAGAGCCATAATTTTATGTTATGAGTGCTCAGATTTAACACACCAAATGAGTACACCTTAAAGGCAACCAGAAGATTTATATCCAGTTCACTTTTGCTATGAACAAGCCCCACCAGTTTCCACTGAATTAATCAATAGCGCTGCTCGCTCCATCTGGTGCCAAATTTGGCTGTTTTTGCAACTGGGCAGGGAGCAGCGCAAAAATTGTTTTTCTCTTCTGTCTAAACATTACTGCCATCAACAGTTAGGGAAAAACCTAATGCAATTATTTTTGCAAACGTTGCTTTAACAAAGACAAGATATGTTGCCACAAGTTTGGGGTAAGATATATTTACTTGGGGAAACCTCAAGAAACTGTCAGGAGACAGAAAAGGTGTGACTAAAAAGCGCCCTGAGCTCTGGGAAGTTCCATTGGTTGAATAACTATTGAAGTTCACTGGTTCATCAGAGAGGTTTTTTGGTTTGGTTTATTTTTGGGGGGTTTGGGGGGTTTTTTTGCATTTGCAGAGAAAAGTGAGGTATTTTTTGCCAAAAGTGGGAGGACTAGAAAATGTAGTTTTAGTTAGGCAACTCTGTTTACTGACAAGTTCAAAGAGTTGTATCTACAACTATTCTTCCTTCTTTTTTTTTTTTTTTTTATTTTTTTATTTTTTTAATTTAGTGGGGCTACATCCATTGTCTACAGATGCAGGCAGAAAGGGACCCAGAAACCTTACGCCGTCAAAATGTTGAAGAAGACAGTAAGTCATTTAGTTTTGTTTTGCTTTGTTTTGCTTTGGAATATGTTTGGGATTTCCTCTGAGGTTTTTTGGGTTTGGGGATTTTTTGTTTCTGTTTTTGTTTTCCTTTCTTTTTTGATGCAGTTTCTTCATGTGGGAAAAATATGCTAGATTTAGGACCCTGCTAAACTTTTATTTCTGGTGACTGAGCTTCTTTGGTTCCTTATCATTGAAACAGCTGTTAGAGGTAACAGTACTGTACTGGGATTGCTTTATCCCCACAAATCTTGTTTATATCTTCATCTGGTGTTATCTATGTAGACTTAGATTTGGGCAAAATATTTTAAACAAATATGTCTTTTCCTTTCACTATAGAAAAAAGCACATTCTGAATAATTTAAATGTTCAGTGGTTTCACTTTGATTTAATACATTGTTTTGCTCAAAAAACATCAGGACACAATTTATCTTTTTCAGAAGATAAAAACACTGATTAAAACACCAATTCAAACTCAAGTAAAATATATATATTTTGTGGAGGTTTTTTACCCCTGCAAAACTTCAAGAGAATCAGTTGAGATGATAAATTCTTTTTAGAGCTCCATATATGTCACACTTGTACTACAGCTGTTTTTGTGTGTGCTACAAAATAGATGGTGGAAACATGAAGAGAGACTAGAGAGGAAAGAGGAGTAATGGACTGAGAGACTTGAAATAGGAAGAGAGTGTGAGGCATAGGGTAGACCTGCTCACATTCCTAAGAGGAGGAGTTTGAGAGAGAGCAATCAAGCTGTGAGGCATGGACATGATATTTGTTCATGAATGGTTTTGATTCAGTTTATTCTAGTGTTTAATCATTCATTATTCCATAAAGTTCAGGAACATTCACATGTAGAAACATAATGATTCGTGGGTAGGTGTAAACATGTCTAAATGGTGAATTAACTGGTGGTCTCATTGCAAGACATAATGAGTGGGTTTCACATGAGTAAAATGTTGGTATTAATTTATCATCTTTGAAAGTAAGCCAAAGTTTAAGCTGGCACAAAAATTCAGTTGTGTGTGTTGCTTTTGAATTTGCATCTGGTGTACTGGAAGAAGCAGAGCATGTGAGGAGCTTGCATTGCTGCAGGCTATGATCTACCTTTCCTACAGAAAAGCAGAGAACTTAATTTTCAGGCTTTTATCAGTTCATTATGCCAGTGATTCCCATAATGTTTCAGGAGTGTACTTTCCTATAATATTTGTTCTGAAATGCACAAGGAAAAACTGTATTACTTCAAATAGTTTCTCTGCCTTTTGATTTTTTCCTTTGTGGAAATTAACTCATGCTCACAATCACCACATTAATGCTAGATGTATCTATTTGTGTCTGAAACTAGTCGATTTAGACTTTTGGTAGACTTACTGTACCACAGATTTTTTTTGTTAAAATGTAGGAAACATGGCAAATAAAGAAGAAAGACTATTGTTATGTAAGTTGTTTTCACAGCAGCAGTAGGTTGGCTTAATGCAGCCATGATTATAACAGCAGTGTGGTTAAGCAGTTCACAGAGCTAAGTTGTTCCCACTGTAACTGATACACTTTGGGATGTTTTGTTATGAGAACAAGTAGTATTTTCACACAACTGAGCTTTTTTTGAATAATTGAGAACATGGGAGACAATGTTTAAGGATGTGCCACTGCTTGTGTCTGTCCAATTTGGACATGTAATTTTTTTTCACAGAGACAGAACTATTTGTGTTACAGTGCTCCTACAGCAGGAGGTCTGATCTTTGCTCAGAGTATCTCAGTATAAAAATAACTACATGTGGGCCAAACCATCCACCAAAATGTTGATTGGCTTAAGTTTTCTGCTAGGTTTTTAAAAAGAGAAAAATAAATGGCAGTCTGGTAATGGAGAATAAGGGATAGGAGGAGAAGAAGAGCCTGTGATTGTCTCCTTCTGATAAGAGTCCTGTTTCTTCAATTCCTTTCTTAAATGCACATAAGGGAGCACTGAAGAGCACATGAAATTAGAAGAAGACAAAGGAAAATGACAAAAAAGCAAATACTCTGATTTTTCCATTCAAACTCACTGACTTTAAACACTGCATCGAACAAGACTGACTCTGAGGAGAAGGTCTGTGAAGGGTGAGGGTCAGGGATCCTGCTTCTTCTGGAAGTGATGTGTGATTAGGAATCTGGTGGCTGATGGACATCTCCAGATTTGTGAGAGATGATCCCTACAGTGCTGTAATTTGAAGTAAAGCATTAGAAATTATTATTTTCATCTCATGGGAATGTTTAGAAAAGAGCCAATGATTCTTTAGGATGGAAGTAGCATTCTAGGAACAGACTGCAAGAACAGAAAATGCTATCAGCATTCTTTTCATTTAAATAGTAAGGGTAATTTTTTAATTTGCCTGATTTTGATTCAGGACAGAACAAAATTTTGGGCAGGATATATCAGCTAGTTCTAACAATACATACTTATTGAGGGATGTGAGTTTTTAGGACATTTTGTAATTAATATTTCTTCCCCATCCAGCTTAATAAAATAGTGCCAGATTATTAGCTAAGTTTGGGGGAGGGGGAGGTTTGATTTATGATTTGGGTTTGATTGTTTTTTTCTTCCAGTTAAACTAAGAAACAGAAACAGAAGAAAACATGTTTATACAAACCTTTTCATGTCAATAAAATAAAACAAAATGTTGGTAATACTGTATTTCAGTTTAGAGGTTTAATCATTCTTCACTACTAGTGCAAATGGTATACAATTCTGACAAAAGGTTTTTTGCTGGTTCAAAACTACTGAAGCAAAATACTTCCATTCCCAGTTTGTTTTGGTTTTGTAGTTTAGTAGTAATCTTGAATCCTTTGAATTACAGTGAATAAAATTTGTTTCGAAGGACATCTCTGATTCTTTTTCGTAAAGCCTCTGAATGTCAAAGCTAGGAAATGGAGAGGCAAGTTAGAACCATAACTTCTAGAGCAGCTAAAACACAACTCTTAGAAGGGCTAAAGAAGTCCAAAGAAAAATTGATTTTTGAATTAGTGGGAGAAATCAAATTTGTAATTATTATTAGAAGCTACAAAAAGAAATATGTTGAAAAACCAGCATCTATGGGACAGGTGAATAAGTATGCTAAATTATTGCCTTTGATTTGCTCTTCCAACCTTTGTCCTAGGTTCCTGAACATAATTGAAATGTAGGATCATAATATATACTCATTATTTGATTTTTGATATATTTAGACCTCTTAAATTTTGCACAGGTAGTAAAGGTAAAGACTTGAATCATGTAATTTCTTCATAGGGAAATCTATTTCATGAAACAAGAAAGAGGCAAAACCAGATCATATAGCACATCAGAAAAACTCAGCTAACAAGCAGAGTACAGAGCTGAATTTTTACACTTGCAATTGCAAATGTGAGATGGGTTTGCTTTTCACTATGCATTTTATCTCTTCTTGATGACTCAGTGCTTAAGAAAAGTGAAATATCTTTAGGACACACTTTACAAACATGATTGTTACTGCTCTTCAACTAAGACTGAAAAATTATGTCATTATTTACAACCAGTCTTTTTATAATGGTTGTTGTTGCAAACAACTTACATCATGTGGATCATAGTGGAAGAACACAGGTTTCTCTAAGGGAGGAAACATATATATATATGTATTATTTATTACATGAAGCCTCTCATCTGCAGACCTTTTCCTCCATTTAGTGTATTTTGAGGGAGCTAGGCAACCTGGAGGTTTTGTCAGAATCTGGGCAGGGGAATGCTTTCCAAGAAATTAGATCCACTTACACTTTAAATTTCTTACCCTAGCCTGGACAAGTTTCATTAAAAATAGTGAATAGAACAGATGGCCTCTCTTCCATGGTTTCTAAACTAAGACACCAAGTGCCTGCCTACATTATAGGTCTACCAAGTGCTAACCACAGTAACTGAAGTAATTTGGGATCTGCCATGGCAATAAAGCAATATGCTCTGCTGAAAGGAGAGTAAGATACTGGGATGGGTTGTCTGGAGCCTGGGTCCTGGCATATTCCCAGTTCAGCCTGTACCATTTGTCAAGGTATTTCTTTGGGTTTCAACTTTTTCATCCATGAAAATGAGATAATATTTACTTGATTTGCTTCTCAGCAATGCTTTGAAGGATAGCTTGGTTAATATTTCTAGGTTTTAATTGATAGGTACTGTCCCCTATAAGTAATTAAGTATATGAAATATTAGGCCCTCTCTTTCTCAATTAATGAGACATGCAAGTACAGAGGCTGCTTTGGAGAATTCTCATTCTGATTTCCTGATTTTTTCCTGTGTAGGCATCCTCTCTCAGATGGTTTATGATGCTTAACAAATACTTCATCAGTACTTCTGTCAAAATCAGTATTTATGAAGCAGCACTCTTCTTGCAGACTGGTTGATGTTCAAAATCAGAAAAATGTTCAGGCACATCAGGTTGTTTTGAGAGCAACAGCTTTCAAGCAATGCCTTCTCTGGAAACAGTTGTGCTGCAGTTAATCTGAATATACTAGGGATTTGGAAAATTTGAGCGCAATAGATAGTTTATGTCTATGAAGCAGAGAGGAGTGTGAGCAGATGTAAAGGTAATAGGCTTCCCTTTTGGATAAGTGGGGTTGGATACCTAGAGTTAGGGTCTAGAGGAGGTTATAATGATATATATAAAAAGGTCCCAACTACATTAGTGTTTGCATATATGTATATATGAACACATATATATACACCTCGGGAAGAAGGGGCAGGCAACTCAGGAAGAATACAAAGATATTGTTAGATTATGTAGAGAGAAAATCAGAAAGGCAAAGCTCAACTCAATCTGTCCAGTGCTGTGAAAGATAATAAAAGGTGTTTTTATGAAAATGTCAACAACAAGAGGAGAGCCAAGGCAAATCTCTGTTCTTTATTGGAGGGGACATTGTCATAAAGGATGAGGAAAAGGCAGAGGTACTTTGTTGCTTCTTTACTTTAATCTTTGGTAATAAGACTGGTTATGCTCAGAGCAGCCAGT